TATTGTCCCTTATATCCTGGGAGGGAGACGATGATACTAGTGGGAATATCGCAGGGGGTGTACACACCCACTGTGATATTGTTCCGAATATCCAGAGGGAGAGAAAATGATATTACTCCCAATATCACAGGGGGTGTACATCCTCCTGCGATATTGTTTCTTATATTCAGGGGGAGAGGATGATATTATCCCAATATCGCAGGGGTTGTACACACCTCCTGCGATACCGTTCCTAATATCCCAAAGGGGAGAGCATAATATTACTCTCAATATCGCAGGGGGTGTACACCTCCTTTGTAATATTGTTGTTAAGATCCATGATGGGAGAGGTTGATATGACTCCCAATATCGCAAGAAGTGTGCAGCAGCCTGTGATATAGTTCATAACATCTAGGTGGGGAGAGGATGATATTACTGCCCATATCACACGAGTTGTAAAACCCCTTCGATATTGTGCCTACAATCCTGCGGGGAGAGGATGATATTACTCCCAATATTGAAGAAGGTGTACACCCCCCTGTGACACTCTGCCCAATATCCACATTGGGAGACAATGACAATACGCCCAATATCGCAGGGGATGTACACCCACCCTGGGATGTTGTTCCTTATATTGAGAGGGGGAGAAGATGCTATTGCTCCCATTAACATAGGGGCTGTGGCTGTGCACCCCTCCTGTGATACTGTTCTTAATACCCTAGGGAAGAGAGGATGATACTACACCCAATATCACAGGGAGTGTACACCCACCCAGTGAAATTGTTCTTAATGTACTCCACCTCCCACCACCAGGGATATCGTTCGTAATATCCAGGGGAAGAGAAGATAACATTATGCCCAATATCGCAGGGGAGTGTACAAGCCCCAGTGATGATGTTCCTAGTATCCAAAGGTAGATACGATTATATTACTGGCCATATCGCAGGGGGTGTACACCCTTCTGTGATATTGCTTGTGACATTCAGTGGGGGAGAGGATAACATTAATCCCAATATCGAAGAAGGTATACAGACCCCTGTGATGTAGTTCCTAATGTACAGGGGAAAGAGAAGAATATTGCTGTCAATATCGCAGGGGTTGGAACCACCCTGCCCCCCGTATATTGTTCCTAATATGCAGCGGGGTGGAGGTTGATAGTACTCCCAATATCCCAGAAGGTGCACACACACCTGTGATAGGGTTCCTAATATCCAGCCGGAAAGAGGCTGATTTTACTTTCGATATCGCAGTGGGTGTGTACCGCCCCCAACCCTGGGGTATCGTTCCTAATATCCAGGCAGGAAGAAGATGATATGGCTGACAATATCGAAGGGGGTGGACAACTCTTCTGTGATATGGTTCCTGATATCCAGGCGGTGAGTGGATGATGTTACTCCCAATAAAGTAGGAACTGTACAGCCACCCTGGGATTTTGTCCTCAATAACCACAGGGGAGAGGTGATATTACTACCAATACTGCAAGGGGTGTACACCCCTCCTGTGATATTGTTTCTGATATCCAGGAAAGGAGAAGATGGCATTACTACCAATATTGAAGAGATGTACAGCCCCCATGGGATGTTGTTCTAAAGATACACGTTGAAAGAGGATGAGATTCCATCCAATATAACAAGGGGTGTACACACAGCCTGTGAAATTGTTCCTAATATCCTGAACAAAAGAGACTGCTAATAATGGACACACATTGCAGGGGGGAGTAATTATTACGATCCACATCATAATGGGGAGTAATAGTAACCCCCTCTCTCCCCCTCACTGTTAGGATCCACATCGCGGGGGGGTGAGGCACCCCCCACGATATGGAGAGTAATAGCATCCCCCTCTCTCCCCCTGGCCTAATAGAAGGAGGCTGGCCTTATATAAGTGCCCCCCAATGCCATCGCAGGCTTTAATGTATTCACTTCAAGTTTTTTCCTCATTTAGATCTGCCTTTCCCTTAATAGGTCTAACTGCTGCCTGACGTTCTGTATTAGCATTTTCATGAGCAAGCAGCTGGAGTGATCAATTTCTTGGCACGAGAATCAGAAATAGCCTTTTCAGCCGCACCTTGCAAACGGGCGATAGAATCTGGATAAGGCTCCCTTGGACCCTGTTGAAATGTGTGAAAAGAAGGATAAGCAGTAGCAGGGTCGTGAATTTTTTCCAAGGCTCTTAGGCATGTAGTTCCGAGCTGATCAACAGCCTCATCAGCCATTACCATCTGTTGATTTAGAGTACCCCATGCCTGTCCGATTCCAAGCAGTTGATCAGATGTGATATTAACGGGACGTTGGGCTTGAGCGTTTCTGCGTGCCTGATTTGTTGCTTCATCCGTCCACCAGGTTTTAAAGTGGAGAAATTCAGAGGGGGACAGGGTGGATCGGGCTAATGCCTCCCAATCCATAGGTATTCAACGTCTGTTATAAGCCACACATTGTAACAAGGAATGAACATAAGGAGAGTTTGGCCCATATTGTCCAATTGCTTGCTTTAAGTCTTTTAATATTTTAAAAGGAAATGGCTTCCAGCATGCTTGAGCAAGTTCTCTGGGCTCCTCAGCTGGCGAAAGAATGACCAGAAACTGCCAAGCATTCAAATCCCCCATTTCTTGTGCCTTGCGAATGGATGCCTGGATTGTCCCTGTGCCATAATTTGTATTTGGATCGGCTGGCAGCATTCCTCTACCATAATTAACAGGTGGACAAGCCTGGATCATTCCCTCCTGGTAACTGGCTGTTGGACAAGCCTGAAGCTTCCCTTCGCCATAGTTACTGGCGGGGCCTGCAACAATGGGAGCGGCAAGGCGCTTCTCAGGCTCCCCTTCCAAAAATTCCTAAGGCTGGCCTGGGGGTGGCCATTCCAGATCTTCCCCTAAAGGCGCAGTAGGTGGCCTGTATCTCTATAAGTTTTTGAAGATTAGCATATATACCTTCCCGTTTCTCGCCCTTTTAAAAACTAGACTATCATAGTTCACTTTACTGATAATTAGACTCCTGATTATTCAACTTTCCTATGTCATCCTGAAAATCCTCCTTCTCCTCCTGAGTGTGGAAGGGCTCCAGGGCTGTTTTAATTGCCGACCACACAGACCAAGCAGAGACGGGAATATCGTGGCCCTCTTGTGCTCGTTTTAAGTCTGATCTGACTTTGTCCCAATCTTTTACATTCATGGTTCCATATTCCGGGAACCAAGGAGAATACTTGTCTACCAGAGGGAACAAAGATTTGAGATTTTGGGTACTCACAATTACCCCTCCGCGGCACAAGGCTTAAGTAATTAGCGAACTTACTCTCACCCTGACCCGTATTTTCCCGAGGTTTCCCTGGAATTCCCCGAGCGCCCTACTTACCCTAGAGCTTGAAGTGAAAACCTACTCGGGAGTCCTTTGTCGGTCGTCCTCCGCTTTCCACGCTCTGGTGTTCCTTCACGGGATTATTTGTAGAGATTACGGGGAGCCCCGCGTTGGGCACCAGAGACCAGCCTGGGCAACCGAGGGAGGCCCCCGTTTCTACAAAAAAAAAATTATATATGTGTATATATATTTATAGCCAGGTGTGGTGTCGCGCGCCTGTAATCCCAGCTACTCCATGAGAAATCAGACAAAACCTAACACCAGAGACTGATTTTCTTCTAAAATGCTTTCTCCAAAATATTTTTAAAACAAAAGGGGGAAATTGGAAAGGAAAATATTTTGGGCTCCCCAGATCGCTAAGATAAAGGGAAAAGTCAATCTGGGAACTGCTTAGGGCAAACCTGCCTCCCATTCTATTCAAAGTCATCAGCTGCTCACTGAGAAGAATGTGTATCTTATTGCCTCCTTTGGAAAGGCTCATCAGAAACTCAATGCAACCGTTAGTCTCTCACCTACCTGTGACCTGGAAGCCCCCTCCTGGCTTCGAGTTGACCCACTTTTGCTTCAGGTTGTACCAGATCAAACTAGTGTTCATTTTACATATGTTGATTGATGTCTCCTGTCTCCCTAAAATGTATAAAACTGTCAGATACAGTCAGTTTCTCTTCCAAGGTTTGGCATGTTAACGTTCTTGTTTTTTGTTCTGGAACTCAACTTTCTTGTTCTCCATGCCTCCTTGCCCTTAGTTACTGTAAACAACCTTCTTGTCAGTTCTAATAAAGAACTCACATCTGTTTCCTTGGTTACCTGCTCTGCACCCATTTCTCCCTTTGAAACCACACGTCCCACCTTTGTAACTCACATACCCCTTCCCCCTTCCTTATTTGGGAAAATATTCACAAATAGCCAACCGGGTCAGTTTAGAGCTTGAGGTCTGGCCCCAACCTATGCCAGAGGTAGGGATTGCCTTAGGAATAAAACCCCCTGCTTTCTTTTGTTCGTGTGCGTTGCTGAGAAAACTTTCGCTTGAGTGCTGGTTTCACTTTGCGGCACCCAGCATTTATCTCCAACAAAACCAAGCTGTGCTCTGACCACCTTGGGCGACTGTCATCAGGACATCCTGAGGATGTGTCATGCACAAGCATCCCCAACCTTGGCAAAATAAACTTTCTAAATAGGGAGACTGATTTGAATAATCATAAAACTCCGAGGCTGCACTCAGCCTGGGCGACAGAGCAAGACTCTGTTTAAGAAAAATAAAATAAAATAAGATAAAAAACTCTGGTCTCCCGCACAGCCGACTCTGCGTGAATTACTCCTTCTCTATTGCTATTCCCCCGTCTTGAGAAATCAGCTCTGTCTAGGTAGCGGGCAAGGTGAACCCACTGGGCAGTTGCAGAATTGTCATTATATTGCTTGCAATTATATATATATGTTATGCACAAATAGCTATAACCTTGTATACAAGGTTAAATGCGAATGTCCTCCTTGCATGGTCAGATCGCAGCGCAGGAAGGACGCACTCCTTACAAACCGCTAGGCCAAAACGGTCATTCTGGCCTCATCCAGCCTCACGTGAGACCACAATCTCCTGTCACTCTGGGCCTGAGGGGGCGGGGCCTGAAGCCGCATACAATCAGGGGCTCTGGAGTGGGGACCGTTTAATCAGGCGCGCCGCCGGAAAGGAGAGGGCGGCTTCCGGGACCGGCTGGCGGGCGCTTTGTGTCGCCTTCGCCACCGTAGGCTCTTTCTGTGAGTCTCCGCTGCGGCTTCCTGGCTCTGGGAGGCCCGGTGGCTCTGCAGCAGCCTCGGACACCCTGTGACCTGCGGGTGTTGGGACATCCCTAGCTGACGCCGGGACACCCGGGGAGCCGAGGAACGGTGAGTGGACTGCGCCTGGCTTCCCGAAGTGGGGAAGAGGGCTGGGTGAAACCTGATGGAACCAGCCATGGGCTGCGGAACCTGCGGACCGAGTCTCCGCGGCGCAGCCGGGCCTCAGTCCCCTTCTGTGCAGGGCCGGGCGGCGCGGGCAGCGGGACCCCTGCGTCCTGTCTGTACCTGCGGGCACCACTTCCGCCGGCCGGAGTCCTCTCCGGAACCCCGCGCCTCCCCCACCCAGGTAGTGCGGTGACCACGGGAGGGTGATCCGGGAGAGCCCCGACTCGGTGAGCGGAGTTCCAGCGTGGGAGGAGCTGTGGTTCAGGGAGCTTCCAGTCCCACCTTTCTCCCCCTAAAATTAGCCTGAGGCTTTGTTAAAACGTTAAACGGTGTGTTTGAGCAAATCGGCGATTCATAAAACGGGTACCACAGTCATGGTTTGTGGTTTGGGGTCCACAGGAGGGGCGTAAATGAGAGGCTTTGATAAGGTTAATGAGGAAGCAAACCACACATATATGCATATACATATATATGTGTGTGTGTATATATATAGTTTTTTTTTTTTTTTTTGAGACGGAGTCTTGCCCTGTCGCCAGGCTGGAGTGCAATGGTGCAGTCTCAGCTCACTGCAACCTCTGACTCCCGAGTTCAAGCGATTCTCCTGCCTCAGCCTCCCAAGTAGCTGGGTTTATAGGCACCTACCACCATGTCCAGCTAATTTTCGTATTTTTAGTAGAGACAGGGTTTCGCTATGTTGGCTAGGTTGGTTTCGAACTCCTGACCTTAATTGATCGCCTGCCTTGGCCTCCTAAAGCTCTGGGATTACAGGCATGAGCCACCTTGGCCAAAATATTTTTCTGTTTCCAAACATTTTACATGAGAGGAAAGTGGAGAATAAATCATCTGACACTCTACTGTAAAAAACATCTTTGTGCCTCTCTTCTTTTCATCTTTCCTAAGTGTACGCATTACCAAAATGTCTTTAGGTTGAGGTCCCCCCGTGAAAACTTTACAGGGTGTTGTGTCCTCAGCCACCCTCCTGTCTTTTCCTAGTGCTGGCATTTTAGAACTGTCTGGAGATGACCCAGGATACCCACAGTGGCCATGTCTATTGGAGGGTCTAGTGAGTCTCAGCCCCGGGGTCACCTCATCCCCAAGGGCAGCCTGAGGTAGGGGGTAGAGTCTCAGGGGAGCAGCTGGATGCTCTTGGCCTTAGAGGAATCTCCTGGTATAGTTTCATCTGAAATGGTGACCCCTTAGGGTCATTAAAATTTTAGGACATTAACATTAATGGACAATACAATGTAATGCCATGAAAGTTAGGTCATTAAAATTGTTCCTCCAGCCCGAGTTTTTATTCCTTGGAGACACATGGACGGTCTGCCAATGGGATGGTGATACTGAGAGGAAAAGGCAGAAATGATTTCTGCTCTCTAGCTTGTCTCAGACTTGTGAAGAGAGAAAAACCGTCCCAAAGGACAAGGAAAACCCACCCCAGAGAGGATGTGCAAGAACCTGAATATGAAAATGCACTTAAGGCACACAGGAGGACAAAGAGCAGTGCCAATGCCTCCTAGGTGGTCACTGAGTACTTTACTGAACAGGATGGGTGTCCCGAGGGATAGAATGGCCTGCCGTGACACTTAGAAAGGTCTGTGTTGGAGTCAGCACTGCCTCTCCCTGAATTTGTTACCTTGAAAAGACTTGTCCGCTTATTTGAGTTTCAGTTTTTCATTGACTGTAAGATACATTTTGTCAGTACAGCTTGAAAGATAAAAATACTATTTCCAAAGAGGCAAGGTAAAATAATGTACTTTATTTGCTAAAAATTCGTATTCATTTCTTCCCCAGAGTGAGTGTAGTAAGTTTTAAAGGTCTGTTCTTTTTTTTAAAATATATACTTTAAGTTCTAGGGTACATGTGCACAACGTGCAGGTTTGTTACATATGCATACATGTGTCATGTTGGAGTGCTGCACCCATCAACTCGTCAGAACCCATCAACTCATCATTTACATCAGTTATAACTCCCAATGCCATCCCTCCCCGTTCCCCCCTCCCCATAATAGGCCCTGGTGTGTGATGTTCCCCTTCCAGAGTCCAAGTGATCTCATTGTTCAATTCCCACCTATGAGTGAGAACATGCGGTGTTTGGTTTTCTCTTCTTACGAAAGTTTGCTGAGAAGGATGGTTTCCAGCTGCACCCATGTCCCTACAAAGGACACGAACTCATCCTTTTTTATGGCTGCATAGTATTCCATGGTGTATATGTGCCACATTTTCTTAATCCAGTCTGTCACTGATGGGCATTTGGGTTGATTCCAAGTCTTTGCTATTGTGAATAGTGCTGCAATAAACATACGTTGCATGTGTCTTTATAGCAGCATGATTTATAATCCTTTGGTGTATACCCAGTAATGGGATGGCTGGGTCATATGGTACATCTAGTTCTAGATCCTTGAGGAATCGCCATACTGTTTTCCATAATGGTTGAACTAGTTTACAATCCCACCAACAGTGTAAAAGTGTTCCTATTTCTCCACGTCCTCTCCAGCACCTGTTGTTTCCTGACTTTTTAATGATTGCCATTCTAACTGGTGTGAGATGGTATCTCATTGTGGTTTTGATTTGCATTTCTCTGATGGCCAGTGATGATGAGCATTTTTTCATGTATCTGTTGTCTGTATGAATGTCTTCTTTTGAGAAATGTCTGTTCATATCCTTTGTCCACTTTTTGATGGGGTTGTTTGTTTTTTTCTTATAAATTTGTTTGAGTTCTTTGTAGGTTTTGGATATTAGCCCTTTGTCAGATGAGTAGATTGCAAAAATTTTCTCCCATTCTGTAGGTTGCCTGTTCACTCTGATGGTAGTTTCTTTTGCTATGCAGAAGCTCTTTAGTTTAATTAGATCCCATTTGTCAATTTTGGCTTTTGTTGCTGTTGCTTTTAGTGTTTTAGACATGAAGTCCTTACCCATGCTTATGTCCTGAATGGTATTACCTAGGTTTTCTTCTAGGGTTTTTATGGTATTAGGTATAACATTTAAGTCTCTAATCCATCTTGAATTAACTTTCGTATAAGGAGTAAGGAAAGGATCCAGTTTCAGCTTTCTGCTTATGGCTAGCCAATTTTCCCAGCACCATTTATTAAATAGGGAATCCTTTCCCCATTTCTTGTTTTTGTCAGGTTTGTCAAAGATCAGATGGCTGTAGATGTGTGGTATTATTTCTGAGGGCTCTGTTCTGTTCCATTGGTCTATATCTCTGTTTTGGTACTAGTATCATACTGTTTTGGTTACTGTAGCCTTGTAGTATAGTTTGAAGTCAGGTAGCGTGATGCCTCCAGCTTTGTTCTTTTGGCTTAGGATTGTCTTGGCAATGTGGGGTCTTTTTTGGTTCCATATGAACTTTAAAGCAGTTTTTTCCAATTCTGTGAAGAAACTCATTGGTAGCTTGATGGGGATGGCATTGAATCTATAAATTACCTTGGGCAATATGGCCATTTTCACGATATTGATTCTTCCTATCCATGAGCATGGTATGTTCTTCCATTTGTTTGTGTCCTCTTTTATGTCACTGAGCAGTGGTTTGTAGTTCTCCTTGAAGAGGTCCTCTACATCCCTTGTAAGTTGGATTCCTAGGTATTTTATTCTCTTTGAAGCAATTGTGAATGGAAGTTCATTCATGATTTGGCTCTCTTTTTGTCTGTTACTGGTGCATAAGAATGCTTGTGATTTTTGCACATTCATTTTGTATACTGAGACTTTGCTGAAGTTGCTTATCAACTTAAGGAGATTTTGGGCTGAGACGATGGGGTTTTCTAAATATACAATCATGTCATCTGCAAACAGGGACAATTTGACTTCTTCTTTTCCTAACTGAATACCCTTTATTTCTTTCTCTTTCCTGATTGCCCTAGCCAGAACTTCCAACATTATGTTGAATAGGAGTGGTGAGAGAGGGCATCCCTGTCTTGTGCCAGTTTTCAAAGGGAATGCTTCCAGTTTTTGCCCATTCAGTATGATATTGGCTGTGGGTTTGTCATAAGTAGCTCTTATGATTTTGAGATACATTCCATCAATACCGAATTTATTGAGAGTTTTTAGTATGAAGGGCTGTTGAATTTTGTCAAAGGCCTTTTCTGCATCTATTGAGATAATCACGTAGTTTTTGTCTTTGATTCTGTTTATGTGATGGATTACGTTTATTGATTTGCGTATGTTGAACCAGCCTTGCATCCCAGGGATGAAGCCCACTTGAACATGGTGGATAAGCTTTTTGATGTGCTGCTGGATTCAGTTTGCCAGTGTTTTATTGAGGATTTTTGCATTGATGTTCATCAGGGATATTGGTCTAAAATTCTCTTTTTTTGTTGTGTCTCTGCCAGGTTTTGGCCTCATAAAATGAGTTAGGGAGGATTCGCTCTTTTTCTATTGATTGGAATAGTTTCAGAAGGAATGGTACCAGCTCCTCCTTGTACCTCTGGTAGAATTCGGCTGTGAATCCGTCTGGTCCTGGACTTTTTTTGGTTGGTAGGCTATTAATAATTGCTTCAATTTCAGAGCCTGCTATTGGTCTATTCAAGGATTCAACTTCTTCCTGGTTTAGTCTTGGGAGAGTGTAAGTGTCCAGGAAATTATCCATTTCTTCTAAGTTTTCTAGTTTATTTGCGTAGAGGTGTTTATAGTATTCTCTGATGGTAGTTTTTATTTCTGTGGGGTCGGTGGTGATATCCCCTGTATCATTTTTTATTGCATCTATTTAATTCTTCTCTCTTTTCTTTATTAGTCTTGCTAGCGGTCTATCAATTCTGTTGATTATTTCAAAAAACCAGCTCCTGGATTCATTGATCTTTTTGGAGGGTTTTTTGTGTCTCTATCTCCTTCAGTTCTGCTCTGATCTTAGTTATTTCTTGCCTTCTGCTAGCTTTTGAATGTGTTTGCTCTTGCTTCTCTAGTTCTTTTAATTGTGATGTTAGGGTGTCAATTTTAGATCTTTCCAGCTTT